ATTTTGTACCCCTGAAAAAATATTTATAAACTTATACATGGAGTAAATGTCTGACATAACAGTATATATGCCACACTGAAAGATTTTCCAACATATGGTCGTTTGCTCAAAGTATATTTTGAACAACCTTTGAGGTAAGCCACTAAAATTGCATAATGTCACAGATTTGGCAACCAGTTCGTCAGTTGGGGAAAGTAAATTAGCTAAAGATCAAAAATGTTTGCTCACAGCAAAAGTTAACAGGGCGTTTTTCTATCATGTCAACTCTTACATTTTTCTTTTTGTCTTTTAATGAGCAATGTCAAAGTAAACTGTGAGTAATAATATTTCTAATGCACACAAATTTTGCTATGGAAATACTTCATTTCTATATGAAAACTCAAAATAGCACAATGTTGAAGTTGAAAGTATATCCAAACAATACAGCATGTACAAACATTGATATGAAGAAAAATATACGGAAAAAACAAACAAAAATCCCAACATGCAACCATGTTGCTTCAATGTCAATCTGATCTTATAAAAGATTTCAGTTATCTGTTTGGATTAGTCTTGCTCTTATGTCCATCATCTTTTTCTTGTTGAATTGAATATGGTCTATGTTAATTATGTTTTATAAATATGTCCTGAAGATGGTCTATTAGACCGAAACGTCCGACGTTGACATTATATTGACATTGAAGCAGCATGGTTGCATGTTGGGATTTTTGTTTGTTTTTCAGGATATTTTTCTTCATAATATCGGATCTATATCCATATATTTGCTTACAAACATTGATATATAAATTATTATCTTTTTTGTATATATTTTGAATAAATTTTAACTTTTGCATTTTACATTGACATCATGTAAATTAATTACTGTTGGAAATTACCCCACAGCTATCAATGATGGTCATTTTTTAGTGTATGAGAGATGGTAGCTCCAGCCCAGATATAGCAGTAACACTCCCTTTTTGGTCTGTTCTGATTCTTGTAAACAGAGTGAGCCAGGTGGAGTTAGGTGCTTTCTGGAGTGGTACAAAGAACTGACCATTTTTCCAGCATCATTAGTAATGGATCATAGATATGAGTTCCACTTCAGGTCAGAGTTGAACTTAAGTTTCAAAAGATGCTTAAAACAAGAAGCCTCTTTGAACACAACCATTCATCCTAACTGGTGAGAATTCTTATAGCAAAATGAAGAAAATAGAATGTCTAATTAATGATTGTCGATACTACAGCATTTGTTATTATCATTATTTACAGTTTGTTATTAGTTATGCATGTTAATGGCAATATTATCCATTTCCTAATTAGGAAATATTTGACATTCAGTGATCAAGCAGACAGTGCTAATCGAGTTATGCTTTTCTTCACTCCATGTCAGTCAAGTTGGTATCAAAGTGTAGTATCTGTTCTTTGCATCTCTAATGGTAATGATAATATTAGCCATTTTATAATAAGGAAACATTCAACATTCATTGACCAAGCAGCCTTTCAGTTAAAATTTTTAAAATCTTCCTCTGAAAACAATCTTGCAGGAAAATAGGTTTCTTGTGTCTACTTTTATTGCTCTTTTCAGGATTGATGGGAGCTTCCTTCCCAACCTCTTGTTTGAAGTGGTGTGGAATGTCAGTTAGTTATATGCCATGTGTGATACATGCTTAGACGATCATGTATCTCTCAATACAAGACTGACGAGGCAAATTTCTTCCCGCAGTAGGTTGCCATTTCTTTCTGCAGTGGACCAGTTGCCATCCATTGTCTGTTCTGCTATTTACTCATAGCTTGGGGGAGAAGAAGAGGATTCATACCTTTCTCAAGGGTATTAGCATGTAAGTGTATGTAAGGGATTTGATTGGAATTTGAACTCTGTTCTCCAGTTCCTCAATCTGAGTCGTTATCCATTACACTACCATAACAACTTGATTATATCATTATGTTCTCTTTGAGTAACATGTGCCATCTATTTTAGTTGCTGTTGAAAGTCCTCAAGTGGTGTGGTCTCTGTTATTTGGTATAGTTCTTTGTTTGTGATTCTGTAGCACCAGTTCACAAGTTTTGAAGAAGAATCATCTTTGCAAAGATCTACAGGCTTCACTTGCTCAAAGCCATGTTGAAACATTGATCTTAGAAAACAATTGTATTTAGCTGATATTTTAGATATTTCTGAATGAGTTTGACACCATGCATAACATCCATATGAAAGTCTTGATCTGATGAAGCTATTTAAGAATGAGAAGGATGGTCCTCACTGAGACCTACTTGCTTCACTTACTCAAAGCCATTTAATCATTGATCTGAGATAGTGATTCTATACACCTGACAGTTTGGATATTTCTGAATGAGTTGGCACCATGCTCAGCATCCATATGAAAGTCTGATGACATTATTTAAGAATGTGACATGAATTTTTAGGTTAATGTTTTGGTTTTATAGCAATTTCTGGTTTTACTACTTGCTGAAGAAATATGAAAAGCAAAACATATATTTTAGATAAAATTAGAGACATTTCATAATTGATCATGCCATCTTAAATAAATCAACAATGTTTTGCAGCAATTTTTAACCTCAACTTGAGATTTTTCTTGTTAAAATGTTGAATAATTTTAATGCATTCAACAACATTATCAATAAAAATATATTGAATTTTATAGTGTTTTTTCAAGACTTAGCATGAGAAAAAGAAATTCATGTATTTGGACAAAAAAAAAAAAAAAACCCCAAAATGACATCAGAATCCACAAAAATGTTTTATCCTTTAATAGTCAGTTGTGCTTAGTTTAATTTGTAATGTATATAAATGGATGTAGAAAAAAGCAAATGTTGATAAGATGGCAAGGGTCACAAAGCACTGCCTGGGGACCCCAATCAGGCTTGATGGCCCGGAGTAATACACACAGGCCCTGTATGTATGTATGCCAAATCTGAAGTCTGCTCATGAATAAATTTGGTCATCTATTGCAAATAGGAAATCTCTTTTTAGTAATAGATAGAGATTAATAAAAAAAAACAAACAAGTTCTTCTGTATATTCTTGATGGCTATATCAGTTATGGTGTGTCAGATCAGAAAAAATTGTTTTCTTATGCTTATCATGAAGTATTGCTAATGTCTTCTTGCAGACATCTTGTGTAGTTAATTTAATTTCCACCATTTCGATTGTAATTTCTTGTTGATGCTGATGGCCAAGAACTGATAGCAACACAAATCTTTCATTTATTGAATAAAATGTTTTATTGTAGTGGCAGTCAGATGAGTGCAAATAGCAGCAGCAATCAAAATGGTAATATTAGTAATTTTTAGTATTAGAATAATAAGTTATATATTTAAAAATTTACATTTTTATCTATGCATGTAGATTGACTGCGTAAGTTGTACTAAGGCCAATTTAAATCAAATTTATTATATATTTTTTTATAGTTAATTGGACTTTAAATAACCTACTGTTGTATAGTGATTTTCAAAGCACAGCTTAGATGTGGAACAAGGCCGAAAGTATGGGGTACCCAGTGAGGATTGAACTCATTAATCATTCGTATCTGATCTAGAAAGTAAATCTTTCTAATCATTATACCACGTCTAGGTGCCCTTACCTACTGTTGTATAAACACGTTTTCAAAACACCATGGTCCCTAGTTTGTTTAGTGGTATATCAACACCTTATGGGTCATTTAATGCCAAAATTTACTTTTCTTGGGAGCATTAGTAATTTCATTTACAAAAATGTATTGCTGGTAATTTTTTTACTATGAAAATATATTGATGTCTTTTTTTTTATACTTCCATAAAATTTTGACCCCAGTTTGGGGGTGTGGTTAACTATTTACCAATAGCAGGGGCCCTAATAGGTGCTACCACTCCAGGTCAGGGTGAACCTGGGAACAACAGCACTTAATAGGTGGTTCCATGCTCCTTAAAATCTCTGAATCAGCGGCCTTGCTGCCAGATGTAGTTTATTATCATACCCAGGATGGTTTAGGCAAACAGGTCATACAATATGACCTGTTTTGTGATGTAGATTTATTATACTGTGTTTTGGGATTCCTGTTTAGTACAGTCTGAATTGCAGAGTATTTGACAGACCAAAATAGTGGCACCTAAGAGAAATCATGATCAGCATCTTTACAGTTGTTTATTTCTAGTAAATGGTAAGTTTCTTTTTTTCCCCAAATAAACCAGCACAGCCAGGTAACAATGCTATAACAATATAGCAGTGAAAGTGAACAGTTTCCAAAGAAAAGAATGTGAGACTGTTATGTAATATCAGTCCTACTATATGACAGTGAATGCTGAAGCAAAAAAAGAAGTTGAAATTTCTAGGGCACATAATGAGAAAAGAGGGTTTGAAGAATTTGACACTCATATGACCTATTGAGGGACAGAGGAAAGTAGTGAGTAATTTACCTCATGAGCTTGTGCAAATGGTTAGCAGAACAAAGATTAGGAGAGATATTAAAAAGACAAATTAATAACTCAGGTTTTTACTGCTTTGCAGTCCTTCTATATGTTAGTGAATTCTGAACAATCTCCTCACAGATGGAGAAGGTACTCAAGGTAATGGAGATGTGATTCTATAGAAGGAAGCTTGAGAATGCCATAGAACGGAGCATGTGAGTAACAAGGAAGTTTTAGAATAAATGGAAACAAAAAGGACAATTCTACTTAGAATCAACAAGAGACAGTTGAAATTTCTGGAATACATAAAAAGGAAATAGGGCTCAGAGAATTTGACACTCACAGGACATATTAAAGGCAGAGGATAGCAGTGGAAAAACTACCTAGCTTGTGTAAATGGATGGCAGAACAGACATTTGGAGGAATAGTGAAAAACAAATTTTTCTAAGAGCTACAAGATATAGGAAATTGTGGGGAGCCATGATCACCCATGTTGTGAAGTGACATGACACATACAAGAAGAAATTTAAAGACTTACAGATGCAGTGACATATAACATGCAAATAAGAGATATACATTTAAAGAATTAACGTTATCAAAAAATGTTTACTCAGTACTGACCTGGGTACACCCTCATAAAACCGACTGCACTACCAAAATATTGCCATGATAAGTCAGAATCATTTTCTTTGTTTTCCTTGAAAGTCTTGTCCAAGGCCTCTGTCCACTGAACACCATTTAAAACATCAAGAGCTGAAACGAAAAGCTACTAGTTAATAGCAATGATAGCAAACAAGGCTAAACAGGTATTTCACAGTAAATGCATTGAAAAGGAAAACTTACTTTTGTGATAGACGTAAGTTGGCACGTGGATTGTGCTAAGACTCAAATTAACCCTGGTCATGCCATATTCAGGGCGATCCTCAACACGAAGGTACTGGAAGTTTTCCATGAATTTTTGTGCATCATCTCCCATTCCTCGGATATCATCATCTGTTATTAGTAGTTTTGCATTTAAGTATTCTACCTGGAAAAGATGACAGAATGGAAGGAGATGAAGCAGTGTGAATTGCAGTAGAAAGATGAGATAAGATGAAAAAAGTTGTAAAAAAAAAAAAGTGTGAAAAAGATAAGAAAAAGATGAAAAAAATAAGAAATATCTTTAATTTTTGGGCTTGACTTTACAGTGAAGTCCCAAAATTGAAGAAATTTCATATTTAACTTTACAGTCAAACCTCAAAATGGAAGAAATTTCATATTTAACTTTATAGTGAAGCCCCAAAATTGAAGAAATGTTATATAATTTTTTCATCTTTTATCTTTTACTCATCTTTTTTTCATCTTTTTCACAAAAAATCCATGTCTTGGATTTTGTTTTAAAATGTTATACTTTCTTTGTTTATACAAAATATGAGCCAGGAGATACGTACACTTTTCAAAATAGTGAAAAATCAATATACATACCCAAACATAAATATATGCAAATATACATTCTGCTTACAGAGATTATGTATTTATACTAACAATGAAACCAACATTTATAAATAAACCATTTAAAAATTACAGACAGATACTGAATTAACATGATGCATATACAGCATAGGGTAGCAGTTATTGCCATAGAAAGTGGGACTGACATTTTTAGTTGAAATTAAAGCAAAAGCCATTGTGTTCAATTTTATATAAATATCATCAATTCTACTACCATCTAGGAGTTAATGACAAAGTAAACTGGGCACCTTAGCTTTGACTGGCAACCAGTCTAAGAGAAGGATAATTTTAAGTTCAAAACCTTTTGGTGTGTAGCTAGCAACTCCAACCTGCTAAAACTTGCTTGCTATAGAAAGAACAACAGCAACATCTAGTGTGGTGAAGTTTTGGCTCTATATTCCAAATGAGAATTTACTGAGTACATACATACATACATATATATATATATATATATATATATATATATATATATATATATATATATATATATAAAAAAGTTGCAAATTAAAAAAATAATAATGTTTTATTTTATGAAAGTATTTATTTATTTATATATATATTTGATATTTCAAATTGTCCTCAATCTTTCATCAGAAATAAATGTTTGTTACAAAAAAAAAAATTAATTTGCAACTTTTTCTAAATATACATATTAAGAAAGTATACGTGGCTTCTCATTATGCTATAATTATGCTATTTTTTAATATTTTTTTTACTGTTCAATATATATATATATATATATATATATATATATAGAGAGAGAGAGAGAGAGAGAGAGAGATAATTCCTATCTAAGCAGATAGAGAATGGAATCAACACTACATGGTGACTGTCAATTTTATGCTTCAATGTGATCTTCAGTCTTCAACCTGAAGATCACATTCAAGCATGAAACTAGCAACGTGGTCCTCCATATACACACTGTCTCTATAATTGTTCTCTCTCTGATATTGAACATTCTTCCTATATGCGTGTGCACAGAAACATGCATAATGCTTCAATGAGTTATTGCTTTTCATTTTATTTATGGATTATACTTGTACACATAGATATGCACATACATACACACATAATAATGTATATGCATTTAAGAATATATGTATCTGCATGTATGTGTGTGTGTGTGCAACCACAGACAACTATCCACATGCCTGATATTTTGGTGGGTCATTTTCTTTTTAATTTTGAGAAAAAAAAGTAATTCCAAAATTCGGTCAATTTTTTCCCCTCTTTCTGCTTTTTCATTTCTTTCTTCATCATCAAGAAAAGATGAAGTCTTAAAAGAAAATTTTGAATGGTTGTCAGTTAATATGCAATGTTGTAGGCTGAATATTTTCATTCTTCTTCTGGATATTTAATTTTTTAGCCTTTTTCTCCTTCCATTATTTTTTTCTCTCTATCGTTAATTCCATTCTCATCTGGCACTTTAACTTATTTCATGAACAAAAGAATGTTTTTTCTGTCTGAATTTCTGGGTTGAGGAGTTATCATTATTTATACTATTTATATTCAGACTATTGTCCCCATCTTTGTTGTTTTATCACAATGTTTCAGCTGTTGTTCTCTCCAGTCTTCCTCGGGTGTATATATTGATCTGGGTAACCTACAGGAAATTCCGAACGGAGCCTTATAATTAATCTATGGGGTAGACTGTTTTTGTTCCAATGCTCATTTCTAGGAATATCTAGTTCTTATTTTATTTAGCACTGTTCAGTTATTGCTTCCAAGTTGCCACTGTGTGCAAGTACACACTGCCTGACCTAGGGATTGAACTTACAACCATTATGTTACCAAATGTTTTTTCTCTAAAATATTTTTGCTCATTTCTTTTAAGTTTCTATCTTTTATTACTGAATTTTTGTTCATTCCAAACTTGCATTTTTTTCCAATTTATCAACCAACGCCCTTTTCTTCCCTCTGTATTTAATTTTTTCCTTCTATTTTTTCTTTCTTTATAGTTTTCATTTGCTTGGTTCTTATTTTTATTCTTCCTTCCATTTTTGTAGTCGTCTTCTTGATCTTTATTTTTTATCATTTGTTCCATCTTTATCTCCAAGCGTGTTTATAAGAATTGCTATCAACTGAAAGATAACGAAATACCAGTGAATAAGTTATAGGATAGAACAAATGTTTCAGGGTGTAAAATAAAATAAAAAAAATGAAGCAGAGAAAGTGGATGTATAATGAGAGATTCTGAGTTTCAGTTGATGAAGAAGGAGAGTAAGGAGAAACTGTAGGAGAGCAAGAAAAGTGCTTATTTGTCTGGAATGTGAATGCCATGCTACTAATTTAAGCAATCTTTTCAATTATGCATCTGTGCAATTGATAATTGATTTGAACCTTTCTCTATAATATTTATTCTTATCTAAAAGAACTTAAATGAAATAATTTGTTGTTATAACTGTTCATAGCAAAGATAGCAGCAGAGAAGGGGGGAAAATGAAAGATGATTTGGGAAAAATCTGTCATTGGATGAATGCTGAGAATACTACAAAGGGAGCATGTAACAAATAAGGAAGCTTTATGGCAAAATGTTTGGGCCATAATGGGGAAAGAAGGGTTGGAGAATTTAATCCTCACAGGACTTACTGAAGGCAAGAGAAGCAGTAGAAAACAGCAAGTAACCTATCTTATAAATAAATGGCGGAACAAGGATAAAAAGTGATGGTAAAGAGATGAGATAAATTTAGAGCAAATAAATACAGGAATTTGTAGAGAGGCAAAACTGTCCATATTTTGAGAGGATTAAGGATATAAAAGATGATGACATTGGATAGAGATCACTTTCAGGCTAAGCTATCTGGTTCAGGGAAATTTCTTTGCTGAAGTAGGTGGAAACCTGTTATTGAGGAATACTATTGTTTTCAGGTGTGCTAATTTAGTTTCTCAGTTGGTCTAAGGTAGTATTATGCAGTAGAAAGAGATGGCCATTCATCGTCAGAATTGAATATTGCTTTCAAATATTCCAACAAATGACCAAAGTGTCTTCAGCTAGCAGTATACAGCAAGGAAAAGTCATTCATTGCTGGCATTGCATGTTGCTTCCTCATATTTTATGAAATAAGCCAGGTGCTCAGGTGCAGAAAATGTGATAAGATACTCTTTATTAAATCTTTAAGCATCCTGCTTCATCACATCAGGTTCCTTTCCTATTTGGAAACCTTTTCATTGGTCATTAATAACCAGTTGATAGTTATGGGAGAGTGGTTTAGGCAAGTGTTCATTCACATGCTCTCTTTTCTGTCAGCTATTGTAGCATGTCAATAGTAAGACATTCTTGCAATGATATCTAGGGATGAAATAGAAGATTTGGATGTGGATCCATGTCATTACCAAGTCTATTAATGCCTAGTAAGTGTTAGCTGCCTCAGATGAAATTTGAACTTGGTCTGCTTGATGCATATTCTATGCTGATAACTATTGCATTATCATGCACTATCTTTACAAAATCAGACTAAAAATGGAGTATTACTGTATGGGAATTAAATCCTATATATACTTTTCAACCAATAAAATCTTCTCAGAAAGTTTGTTTGATAGAGGTCTCCAGATTTGGTGAATTTGAAAACTTGACACAGGAGAAATGACCACAGGAGTTGATACAGTTGAAATTAATAGAAGGTGTGCATGATGCTTTGATAAACACAAAATCTTAGAACAATAATAATTGAGTAAAATGTCCTTAGATGCATGTGTACAGTTTCTGCAAAATGTAAAATAAATTCAATACACCTAAGAGCAATGTCGAAGTATACAATTGGAGAAGAAAAAAATGTTCAGATTTAGGACAAATATGTTAGAATTGAGAGTGAGAAAGATCATTTCCTGTCCGTTTGCAAATATAAAATGAAAATATAATGGATTGAAAATTTAAACCCTTCTCAAGAAAATACAGTTGTACATCTTATACAAAGTTGTAAAGAGAAAAAATTATATTAAATGTTTAACCATTTCTATGTCACCCTTATTGCAATAAATTTCTGGGCAAACCCAAATTGAGGAAAAATTATCTGAAACTAAGGTAGTTCAATCGCTTTTATCAAAACATCAGGTTGTTTTGAGGGAACTTTTGAGATCAACAACCACTTCAAAATTAATTCCATTATGGTAATGAAATGCAAAAATGTCATAACTTATGGGAATAGATGTCTTAAAAATTGATACAACAAAATTAATCAACAGTGCGAAGTTGGAAATACCTGACACAAGAATGTAAAAAAAAGGTACAAAGGTAAATAGCCTCTTACTTTGAATCTTGCAGATGACTATTTACATAATACCTTTAGTAGTTGCTAAACTAAAAACAATGGTGGTGCAAGGAATTTTAGAGGAGCATGTTCCCCTAGCTTGTAGTAATTGCATCTAACCCATTGTAGCTTTATGAAAATTGGATGGAGATTTAAGGATATTTGGGGATTACAAAATAGGTGTAAACCACAAAATATGCTCTGATTCATTCCCTATTCCTAACATTGAATCTGCTATTCATATATTGTCAAGAGTGAAATACTTTGGCAAAATTGACATCAAATCTGC